AAATGACTGTAATCTTGTTTAAAAAAATAAAATTAAAATAATTTAAAATTTTTATGTGTTTTTTTTTTTTTTTTTTCAAGCTAAGAGGAATTGTGAGGTTGAAAGAAGTAGTGTTTGGGTGCAAAACTCATGACTTGGATGTCATGGTACCGTCCATGAAGGTTATGGCTGCTAACGCACATACTGTTAGACAAAAAATTTATGTGTTCTTAATATTTTGTTGCGGGGCATCCATTTTTTTGGAAAACCCCGAGGGAGAAAAAATACTTTCTCAAACTAATTATATCTATTGAATCCTAATCCGTTGATGAAAATTTATTTTTAAATTTTTATCTTAATAAATTTATATTTTTTATTTTTTATTTTATATTATGATATTTTTAATTTTTTGTTTATATAAATTAAAGAAAATAATATTTGTTTAACGTCAAATTATAATATTTTGTTAATTCTATTAATTGATTATTAATTTAATAATTGATTATTAACTCTGTTAATTGATTATTAATATTTTATTAACAAAACTAATAAATAAAATTGAGTTTAAATTTAAAATTTTTTATAACAAAATACTAGCAATCAACTCACAAAAGTAACAGTTAGTTATAAAACATTAAATAAAAGTTATTTTCTTCATTTTTATAAGTGATGAGTTAAAAATATTATAGTATGAAGTGATAGATTAAAACTTATAAATTTATTAAGATAAAAAATTAAAAATAAATATTTGCCCTCCGTTTTACCAAAAAAAAAAATCTAACTCCAAATCAGTTTGACGTGTAAGGATTAGGAACAGGACCCACAGAGTACATGCCACGTGGGAATCTTTGACATTCTTTTACTTATCCTTTTTCCTTTTTTAATACTTTTTGGGCCGTCCATTCTTTTACTTGTCAATTTATCATGCTTCTTCTTCTATAATTTTCCATCACTAGTAACTTTGATTGTGGCACATGAACTGTAATTCTTACATAAGAGAGAACCATACAACTTTTTTTTTAAAAAAAAAAGGGCATTTCTATTATGCAATTAAAAATATTTTTTTATTGTCCCTCTCATACTCAAAAATATTATTTTGATATTAAAAAACATCAAAATAGA